AATGCTATAGGAAAAGCAGGACACGACCAAGGATATATTATATAAAATTATTATAGAAGGATATGATATTACAGAAAATTACAGAAAAAAAATATATATGTAAAGCTGGTATTTTCCAACTGGTTCTTCCTTTTCATAAACAGTGAAATACACTTTAAGAATAATTAATGATTTGGATTCTTAGTATATTGGATATATTATCATTATGTTTTCATATAACCTAGAAACTTTTTAAGATTATTTTATTGCGTAACTTCTATAAACTGTCTGGGTTTAAGATATTTCTACATTGCTCATTTAACCAAAGAATACTATTTCTTTAATAGAGAAGGAAAATACACTTTAAACATTGTAAACATCACTCGAGAAAAATACATCTAATTTATTTTTTCATGATTTAGTTGGAACAGAAGTTTCTCTTTCCTGATCAATGCTGTATTTTATCAGTTAATAAAATTTTACTTGTCTTTGCTCCCTCAAAGCTTGAAGGCAAATTGTATGTTCAATGCCAGTAGGTACATGATCTGCCTTCCTGAAATACTATATTTCTTTTTGTGTGTCTTAGTTTCATTTTCTAATTCTAGAACACTGTTTATTCCTTTTTTGTTTCTTATTTGTAAATTACCTCAAATACTCATGGAGTTGCCAAGTATATAAATGATAAACGTGTCCTATATTGTTTTGAACACAAATAGGTGTCAAAAAATGTCTTTTGGTACTCACCTTCCCAAGGGCCCAACTGCCACAGTAAAATTCCCTCCGAGTGTTAGGTTACCACCTTTTGCAAAGGCTTCTACTGCTCTGTCATAATTCAAAATGATTACCAAATCTGATACCTAAAATGCAGAAAACAATTTATTTAAAAATAATCATATAATAAGAATTTTCAATACAGACAAAAATATGAAAAGGTCATGTTTTTATTTTGAGCTGAGGATGGAAGCAATTAGTATTGCCATAGGTAGTTACAAAAATACTTTTTGAGCATTTGCTGTGTCTCACATGGTATACTATCATGTTTACATGCACTTTCACCTTTAATCTTCCCAACATCCTTGTGATACAGGTGGTGATTCTGAGGTTTAGACAGGTTAAGTAAACTGTCGCTAATGATAACTAAAATGGATGAAACACAGATAGGTGAGAAGGATCAAAAGTGTTCCTTGACTTCTTCAAATTAAACAATTCAAGAAAACTGAGTCCAAAAAAATAGGACTAGGATTACAGT